AGAAAGACAGAGAGAGACAGAGAGACAGAAAGCGAGAAATCACCCCCCAGGGGGGATGGCCACGCCATAATCCCTTCTCCTCCATACTCCTCTTGGGATCTTGGGCATGCACACACACGCACCCAGTGTGAGTTCAAGCCACCGGTCCAGGACTCAAACCGCGGTCAACTATGTGGGAGTCCAGCAACGTAGCCATTACTCCAACTGCTGGTTCCCCCACTGCCTTTAATAAGTTACGTGTTTCTGTCCCTTCCGTCAGCCCCCATTCCATGATCCTGAGCTTCCTAACGGTTATAATAACTCATAGGGAGGCCTTAGGCTGAGGTAGCCTGCACCGTGGGTCCCAGCAGAGACAGATGGGAGCCCAGTTCAGTGTCAGATCCTTGGAAAAGGAAACTTGAGCTTAACTGGTCAGAAATGGCCAACCAACCGCTAAGTACTTTACCTATCAGCAGCTGCCAACTGGCCTCTAAGCAGAAACCTCAAGTCTACTCCACTGGAACCAAATCTAGTATTTTGTTTTGCTTTCACAAACACCTTATGAAAATTTTCTTCTTGTACCTTCTTTTGATTTATTCTCAAATCTACTTTTAAATTTTATTTATTCTTCTAATTTTAAATTTATTTTTAATTTCTTAAAACTTTAAAAATTTTAAATTTATTTGATAATAATAATTAGTCCTACTGAGAGGTTTTATTTTTGTTATAGGGTGTGTGTGCTCACCAGAGAGACAGAAAGTGAGAAATTACCCCGGCTCAATTTCCCCAGGGGGGATGGCCACAGCAAAATCCCTTCTCCTCCATTCTCCTCTAGAGATTTTGGGCAGGCACACACGCAAACCCAGTGTGAGTTTAAACTGCTGAGTCCAGGACTCAAGTACATGGGAGTCCAGTGATATAACCATTTGCTATCTACTGGTCACTATTTATTTATTTTTTAAAAATATACTTTTAAAAATTGTCAGAGGGGCTGTGCACACACCAGAGAGAGACAGAGATGAGAGGGATAAAGCACCCCCAGTGGTGAGTGGTCATGCAGCAATCCCTTCTCCGTTTCTCCATCCTGCTGGAAGTTTTAGGCATGTACGCATATGCGCCTGGGGCTCCCAGGGTGGGGACTTAAATCACATCAGGGTGCAGGGTCCAGCTCTCTCAACCCCTAGGCAGCGGGGCCAGCCCCAGACAAATTCTTTAAAAATTTAATGTATCTAAGTTTACTTTTTTTTTGGGGGGGGGGAGGGTTTCACTATAGGGCGCATGCGCTCACCAGACAGACAGAGAGAGACAGAGACAGAAAGCGAGAAATCACCCCCCAAGAGGGATGGCCACGCTGCAATCCCTTCTCCATTCTCTCGGGATCTTGGGCACGCACGCACACACATGCGCCCGATGTGAGTTTTAAGCCACTGGGTCCAGGATGCGAACCGCGGTCGACTAATGTGGGAGTCCAGCGACATAGCCATTACGCTAACTGCTGGTTCTCCTAAGTTTACTTTTTAATCTGAGACAGGCTCAGTATCCCTCTTGATGTTGGGGGGGGTATATATAGTAAGCATGCAGTAAAAGTTGAGAAAACAAAGAAACGAGGAAAACTGTAGGGATTTCTGGCCTCTTTCATATACGTGATGAAAAGGAACCAAAATGCACTTGTGTTCTGGAAATTGAGCTGGTACGAAGTGAGGGTGTTTATGGTGACCTGGAAAACAGGAACTGGAGAAAGTTTATCATCCCGCTCAAGTATCTATGTGAGCACAGAGGAGGAAGGCCCTGCTCCAGTGCGTCTCCATGGGAGAGTCTTCGTTGTGTGCCTCCCCCCAACATTTGGCAATGCCTGGAGCCATTTCTGGTGGGAGGGGCTCTGGGCGTAGCCAGGTGTGGGTGGAAGCCAGGGCCGCTGCTCGCCCTTAGAGCGAACGAGCACGGTGCCCTCCACACCCCCAAGACCCATCCAGGAATAGTCAGGAACCGACAGTGCCGCCTTGATAAACTCCGCTGCAACCCGACCCGTGGGATGCGCCCAGGCTGGGGGAGGGCGAGGGCCTGGGACGCAGTGTGCGGAGCTCTCAAAGGATGCGCATGCGCTGCTAGACGGCGAAAAGGGCCGGTATTACCGCGAGGTGGAACAAGCCAGGGAAGCGGAGGTGAGGAGCAGGCATGGAAGAATACGCGAGAACAGGGCCAGGGGTGGGGATCAGGAAACTCCCTTTGCTGGACCAGCTGGTAACTTGACTTGCGCTCTGCGAGGCCGACCCGCATGGCGGGACCCTGGGTTTGGGTCTGGAGGCTCTGGATGTGCTCCAGTCCTGGATCCCGGGCTGGTGGAAGCTGGGGATGGAGCGTGCTGTCACTCCCTGTTGAGAGTGTTGTCTCTCCAACGCTCTCTCTGCCTTGCTCATGGAAGAAATGAATGAATAAACTTCGAGGAAGAGAAAAAAAAGGCAGCAGCCCCCTTTGCTGTCGTGTGGTGCTGAGCTGGATGGGCGGAGGCGGCTGCCTAGGGCTGGGGCGCCACAAGAGTCCTGCATGAGAGGTCAAGGTGGTCAGGGTGTGAGACTTGGCCTGGGGGTGGGGAAGGGGAAGCAGAACTGGAACCTGGTGGTGCTCGCCCTGGGCTCTGAGCAGGAGGGAAGTGAAACAGCCCTCGGGCAGAGACATGAAGTAGGAGCTGTGCTTCTGCTTTGCCAACTTGCACATCAGCAGTTTTCCCCTTGACCAGGGGCATCTGATTGGGGTCTGAGCAGAGAACCTGGGGCCTTGAGTCTATAGCTTGAAACCTAAAGGTCATTTAGCCAATCGGGTGATGACCCTGGCAGCAGCTGGCCCTTGGCTGAGTACATGCCAACCAGTTCCCTTCCCCTGAGAGCTGGGTTCACCATACGCCCGATCCTGGTCAAACAGTCTGCCTGTTTTCGATCATTGACTCCTTGAGCCGAATCAGTAAGCTAAGCGGTATGGTTACCCCCCTTTAACAGATAAGCCTAGCAGCTCGTGGAGGCCTAGAGGTCTGACTTAAAAACTTAAGTTATTATTTCTTATACTGAGGTGGAATTCACGTAACAAAATGAACCATCCCCACAATGCAGTGATGCAGGGAGAAGGACTACATGGCTGACTACAGTCCAAATCCCAGTCTTGTGCTTGAAATGCATGCCAGGCACGTGTGTGTGCATGTCCCTAATCCCAACAAGATGGGTAAATGGAGAAAAAGGATTGTAGCGCGAGCACCTCCATGGGTGTGTGGGTGCTCTCTCCCTTTCTCTCTCTCTGTCTATCTCTCTGGCAAGCACACATGTCATCTGGCAGTTAAAAAATAAGTAAGTGAAGAGAACAATTCAGTGTCATTTAGTATATTCACTTCTTATCATTTCAAAACACGTCCATCACCCCAAAAGGAAACCCTGTAGCACTGAGCCATCACTGCTCACTTCCTCCTCCAGCCCCAGGCGACCACCAATCTACTTTCCGTCTCTACAGATTTCCTCTTGTGGACATTTCATTTAAACGGAATCATGCAACACATGCCCTTTGGCGTCTGGCTTCTCTGCGTTAGCAATGTTGTCGACACTCATCCGTGCTCTAGCACATGCCTGTATCTCAGTCCTTGATGTGAGTGTATGATACTGCACTGCAGGGCTGTACTATGTCCTGCTTATCCATTCATCCGTTGATGGATATTTGGACCTTTTGGTTATTGTGAAGGGGATTAAAATTATAGCACTATGCTCTATTGCCTTCATTAAGATGATTTCGGCTGGGTCCGGCCGTTGGCATGGTGGTTAAGGGCGCTGGACTCCCACCTGGTCAGCTGAGTCCCAGTCCTGGCAACTTGCTTTCCCACTTTCTCTCTCTCTGTCCCTCTCTGGTTAAATTAAAATAAATAAATAAAGTTAAATAAAATAATTCTTTAAAAGAAAAGAGGTGATTTAGATCAGGGATCTCCATCCTTCTGGCACTAGGGACCAGTCTCATGAAAGACAATCCCTCCATGGTTGGTGGGGGGAAGGGGGCGTTGGTTCTGGGATGACCCGAGTGCTCCAAATCCTTTGTGCGCCCCATTTCCACCATTTCCACATTGTAATAAATTGGGTTGTCAGGAAAGTCATGCTGCATTTTTGCATACAAAATAAATCATGACTTTCCCAATGACCTAATACAATGAAACAATCAAACGACAATTGGGTTCGTGCTCCCATGAAAATCCAATACTACCACTGGCCTGACAGAGGTGGAGCTCAGGTGGCAATGCAAGTGATGGGGAGCAGCTGCAAACACAGATGAGGCCACCTACTTGCTGCCCACTCCCTGCTGTGCATGTGGCCCACCACCCAGAGGTTGGGGACCCCTGATTCAGATGAACTCTAGATCTTATGAATAAGGCTGTAGTGGAGTCTGTAGGATCACAGAGGTGGGAGTTCCAGAATCTTCTCAGGGCAGTAAGGAGTTGAAGAAGGCTTTAGGTTTAAGAGAATCTTATAGTTGGGCCTCAAGGTTCTTTATACTATGAACAGGGAAGCTCACAGCCCTGGTGGGGAAGGGCAACAGGAAAAGGGAGAAAGGGTACGGAGTCATCAGATTCAGGAAGTGGTTCAGATAATGGCCTCTTAGAGAACAGGCAGAGTTTAGTTCAAGTTCCAGCCTAAGCTGGAACATGAGTTTAGAGAAGAGGAGGAGGCTTGTTTCACAAGATCTGGTGAGTTTCAGACAAGACATTGTGCCCTGGTGGGAAGTTAGAGATAGATGGAGGAGCATGATGGTCTAGTTGTCCAACTCCATAGAGTGAATGTTTGTGTCCTTCCACTGCCGCCAATTCTTATGTTGAAGCCTAACCCCAATATGATGATATTAAAAGATAGAGAGCATTTGGGAGGTGATTAGATCACAAGGGTGGAGCCCTCATGAATGAGATTAATGCCCTTTAACAGGTTTCTAAGGAGCCTCTCCCCTCCATCTGCCAAGTGTGTGCACCATCCTTCAACTGTAAGTGAGAACTCAACAGCTTTTGAATTTCCCACCACTTTTTACTTGGAGTTTCCATCCTCCAGAACTGTGAAAAAGATTACATTTGTAAGATTCATACATGTTGTGTGGAGTTATCTGCTTCTTCCATCCCATGAATGATATGCAATTTATTGACCTGTCTTACTTTAAACTCTTTAAAATTTTAACATGTGTAATTTTATCTTTTAATATGAAGTAGGCATTGATAGGCATTGGAGTAGGTTCCATTTTCAACTGTTACAACTAGTGCTGTTATAAAAATTCTTGTGAATGTTTGATGAGCATCTGTATGTACTTCTGTTGGGTATGCACTTAGGAGTGGAATTTCTGGCTCATACACTGTTCGTGAAGAGTGAAAAACATTTTTTTCCAAGTGGTTGTACCAATTCCCATGCCTTCCAGTGGTAAATGAGAGTTCCAGTTGCTTCACATCTTCAACAATATTCTTTTGTTTTGTTTTGCTATGGGGTGCATGAGCTTATGAGAGAGAGAGAGAGAGAGAGAGAGAGAATCATCCCCCAGAGGGAATGACCATGCCACAATCTTTTCTCCTCCATTCTCCTCTCTGGATTTTGGGTGTACATGCACATGGGCCCCATGTGTTTTTCAGACCACTGGGTCTGGGACTTGAACTCTACTGTCAGATATATAGGAATCCAGTGCCTCAACTACCACACCGTCTGCTAGCCTCAACAACAATATTCTTGATGCTGCCTTAATTAATTTAGCCATTTAGCAGCTGTGTAGTGACCTGGCATTGTGGTATTTATTTACATCTCCTTGACACCTGCTGAGGTTGAGCAACAACGTTCACTATGTCTCTTGGCCCCTTGAACATCCTATTTTTCTATGGGGTTGTCTGTCTCTTTCTTATTGATTTGTGGAACATCTCCACATATTTCTGTATATACTTTGGGTTTGAGTTCTTTGTTGGATACATGCAGTGGGGAATATTTTCCCTCACCAGAGAGTGACACATAGAATAAAGTTACTTTACAAAAGAATACATGTTTTAAAAACACTCAAGCCAGATAAAAATATGTGGTAGAGTCAAAAGCTGACAGGTCGCTCCAACCAGCTGAGGTAACCAAGGTTAAGAGTTACACACAAAACAACACACTTGGCAACGCAGAATGCACACTCTCCCCGTTTAATGTTCCTCGTGAATACAAGCCTCAGTTTATGAAGTAGGAAACTAAGGAGCAGAGCGGTAAACTGCATGCTAGCGGTAACAGTCTTAATAAGTAGCTGAATCTGGACTTGAACCCCAAATCTCGGTTACCTGCAACCACTTCAAGAAATCCCAGGTATCCATTTAGAAACTTGGCCCAGAGGGGCTGTCAACTTTTTAAGAATCCATTCTTTATCTACATTTGCCTCACAGATGCCTCGTCTGGGCTCCAGCCAGAACTGGGGCTCAGGGATGGGGCTTGTCACTTGCGGACCTTGATTGCAGAGTACTCAGTGCTGTCGATGGCCTCCCGGTCCTGAGAGTCCTCGGCCTTCAGCCTGTGGAAGCTGAGGGAGGCGTAGTGGAGCTCCTGCTCCTGTCCCTGTCCCTGCCCTGAGATGGGGGTGGCAGTGGCAGGGGGCAGGTGGTCTGAGGGGCTGTCTGAGCAGGATGCATTCAGGTGGCCCTGAAGTGGAGAGAGAGAAGGGAGTCGGAGCAGGCCCGTGGCATCTGGAGAAGGCAGCAAGGCTGTCTCAGTCTTTGAGTGTTGCTAGAACATCATACCCAGGTGATTTATAAAGAAAAGAAGTTTATTTGGCGCAGGATCCTGGTGCCTGGGAAGTCCAAAGGCATCTGATGCTGTGTCATGACATGACTAAGGAGAGCGGAAAGGAAGGCGGTGCGTGCAAAGACCTGCTGGCATCCAGCGACCTTCCTTGTACTCGGGAACTGATCAGTGAGAACTGGGTTATTCCTCTGGAGTGCACCCGCCTGTCTCAGGCACCTCCCAATAGGCCCCACCTTCCAACTCTGCCATATTGACTATCAGATTACAGCGTGTGGTGTGGAGGAGGGGCTTAACACTCAAAGCGAAGGAGTCACCAAGGGAACTTGGGCTTGATGGGGCATTCATTCGTTCATTCATATCCGTCTGCTGTGGATTCACTCATTCATTCATTTGTAGGTCTAAAAAATGTGAGCCATGTTGGGCTGTCCTGCGACTAACCTCACTGAACCCTTGCAGACTCCTTGTAGAAATGACACGGCCATTATTCACATTTCACAGACATGCAGACAGACTGAGCAAGGCTACGTGACTCCTCACAGACAGGAGCCCTGCCCTTAGCAGTCCGTCAGGGCAGGAGACAGTATCGAATTATTAAAAAGCAAAGCAAAGAGAACCCGAACAAACATCTCTAAGAGTCTCATCTCAACTGCTGTTCTGCTTTTCAGGGTTTCAGGTACCTGCGGTCAACCACGGTCCAAGCACATTAAACAGGAAATTGCAGAAGTAAAAGCCTGGAAGTGTTAAGTTGCACGCGTTCTGAGTAGCGCTTCTGAGCGCTGGCGCCATCTTGCTCTGTCCTTCCGATCTATGCCTGGTCCCCTGCCCCAGCATGTGGCACTGCACGCACTCCTTGCCATGAGGCACTGAGTGGCCTTCGGTTACCGGGTCAGAAAAATGCAGTATGTATAAGACACCGTGCTGCCTGCCAACTCAGAATACACCAGGGGCCTTAGACTGTACCCCCTCCCAGCAGGGGGGATACCCTAATTACAAGCTGTGGTTTGGCGAGCAAAGGCAGTGCACTGGGGCTGGAACCTCCCACCAGGCCGGCGCTAGCCCTGCCCCTGCCTTCCCGGGCTGGTGGTTGGTGGGGACAGGCCCGTGACGACTGCACGATGCACTCTGCCTGGCAGAGGCAGGGACTAATGACATTGGGGCGTGAAAGATGGTTGGGGTCACACCAGGGAACCGGGCAGGAGCAGAGGAAAGCCGCACTCTGGGCACTGAGTCGCAGAGGAGCCAGCCTGCCGGGGATGAGCCCACCGGTGAGGAGCACCGCAAGTGAGGGGGAGGCATGGGAGGCAGGCGGTGGGCGCAGCGGGGACAGATCAGCAACACCAGACTGAAGGGTGTGAACCTGGCTCCCTAGCCCTGCGCTGCCCACTGGTTCCACGTGGCTTCTGAGCGTGCAAAATGGGGCAAGTTAGAACAGAGAAATCATGAGCATAAAAGAAACACTGGGTTTCAAGACTTACTACCCAAACATCAAACGAACGAAGAATACGCGCTACCTTAGTCGTTGGTATGTTGATTATTGGAAACATATTGGAATTATGTTGAGTCGTTGGAAAAGTCATGACATATTTTTCTGTACCAAAATGCATTGTGACTTTTCCACAGTCCAATAACATTTCGGCTACATTGAACTTAATAAAGTGGGGACCAGCAGTTAGCGAATGGCTATGTCGCTGGACTCCCATGTAGTCAACCACGGTTCACGTCCCGGACCCGGTGGCTTAAAACTCACACCAGGTGTGTGTGCGTGCGTGCCCAGGATCCCAAGAGGAGAACGGAGGAGAAGGGATTGTGGCGTGGCCATCCCCTCTGGGGGGTGATTTCTCGCTTTCTGTCTCTCTGTCTGTCTGGCGAGCGCACGCGCCCTATAGCAAAAACCTCTCCAAAAAATAAAAAAAGTATTGCATGAGAATTGATCTCACATGGTACTTTCTACTTCTCTAAGATAAGCTCTCACTGCTGTGGTTCTGCCTTAGCCTCTGTGCGGGGACTGCAGGTGCGTGCCACCAGCAAGCTCACTTCTTAAGTTTTTTTCTAAACTTTATTTATTTCTTCGGTGAGTAAGAGAGACTCAGAGAAAGAGTTAGAGACAGAGAGACAGAAACAGAGACAGACAGCACCCAGAACCCAACAAGGTCTTGGTACCGTGATCCACCCCAGCTTCAGCCAGCCCTGGCTCTGACTCGCGGGTGCCTAGCATCCTCAGGGAGGGCGCTGGCGTGGCTGCAGAAGTTCCCACGCCATCTGGCCTCCCAGGGCACGGCTTTTTCCTGCACCACCATCTGGCCTGTCTTCCTGCTTTTTAAATGTGGCTGCTAGAAAGTTCTACATTATTCTCAGGGCTTCTATTCTATGTCTGTTGCATGGAGCTGATCTAGACAGTGGGGAGCAAGGAGACTTCTTTCTGAAAGCATGACTGAGCGTGGAGAGGAGGAGCGCCAGCGAGGAGAGCTTTGCTGGCAGGAGAAGGAGACAGCACTTGGTAAATCACTGGCTCTGGGAGACGAAGGAGAGGACGGGGAGGGCTGCCCAGGTCCCTGGCCTGGCTGACCTCAGAATGAAATCTAGGGGAGAAATACACCAGGGGGAGGAAAATAGCTCAGTTTTTAAAAAAATTACTTTGTTCATAATAGAAAGCAAGAAAGAGAGAGAGAGACTGGCAGGAGAAGGAGACAGCACTTGGTAAATCACTGGCTCTGGGAGACGAAGGAGAGGACGGGGAGGGCTGCCCAGGTCCCTGGCCTGGCTGACCTCAGAATGAAATCTAGGGGAGAAATACACCAGGGGGAGGAAAATAGCTCAGTTTTTAAAAAAATTACTTTGTTCATAATAGAAAGCAAGAAAGAGAGAGAGAGAAAGAGAGAGAGCGAGCATCTCAACTATGACTTGTCACGCCGAGATCCCCTTTGCCCAGGCCTCCAGCCCCTCAGGATCTTGGGTGCCTGCACGTGCACTCAGCCTGTTTTCAGGCTGCCCTGGGGACCCAAGCCTGTGGCTGGCCCTGTGGATTCCAGCACTCCAGCTCAGTTTGCCCTGGGGCGGGGCCTGAGCTCTGCGGTTAAGGTGCCGAGAGAGCTGTGGGAGGAGACATCTGGCTAGGACACTGGATGGAGGGACGCCCCTCACCTGGGAGATGGTTCTCATCACAGGCCGGGCGCCATCCCCACTCCCTGCTTTTGTTGCCGATTTCTGGCTGTAGCTCTTCACTCTGTGGGAAGGGAGCAGGGCCTCTGAGCCTGGCTGGCTCACTGTCAGGCTGGCCAGGAGGGCTGCCCAGTGCAGAGACCAGGGCCAGAGCAGGCGCCCCTTCCTGTTGGACAGCTGCACCGGGTGTTGGGAACAGCCCTGACACCTAAGGTGGCAGGAGGCTAAATTCTCGATGCCACTTCTGCTCATCACACTCGTCCCTGCCTTTGTCATCTTGCCAGGTCACATCGACTCTGGACTTGGAGTTTTGAAGATTGTTTGAGCTTCCGCCCCGGCCTCCACCACACCCACACCCACCACCTCAGGAGGCTTCACCCACACTGAAGCCACCACGCACGTAAGGAAGGTGAGACAGAGACAGACAGCGACCAGGGCCATGACGCCAGCTCCCCCGACAGCCCCCAGAACCACGCCTGTCCTGGATCCTGGTTTCTCTGCAGACGAGAGGGAGACAGGAGTGATTTGGGGTTCCCCCACAAGTACCTGAGCATCCAGGCTCCTGAAATCCATGGCCCGCGAGGGTGCCCACCCCCACCCTGGACTCAGCCCTTTGCCTCCTCTTCCTGAAGCCTCTCCCCAGTCCAGGGACATAGGATCCCAAACTCCAGTCCCCCTTTGCCCCGGGACAGACTCCTTTCTCTTGCGATGTCTTCTAGGACCAGGCTCACTTCTCCCTTTCCCAGTCATCACCCTTCATGCCCTCCTGACCTGGGAGCAGCAGGACAACCAGGCTCTGCGCCCCGTGGGCGTTCCGGGCCTCGCAGCTGAGCCTGAGGTCCGAGCAGCCGTTGGCCCAGGGCCCTGCGGAGCTGTAGGTGACGGTGAAGGAGGCGTCGCTGCTGTTCCCCTCCAGCAGCTGCTCCCCGAGCCGCCAGTGCAGGGAGGGGGCCGGGCAGGCTCTGGAGGAGCAGCGGGGTTCTGCGGAGGGAGAGGAGAGTCAGAGGTGCCCTCCCCTGGCTAGAACCCAGGTGTCCAGCCTCCAGGGTCTTCCAACTCACTCTTCGCCAGGAGGCTCACGGAGGCCTTCTGAGTTCCCAGTGGGTGCTGAGCTTGGCAGGTGTATTTCCCATGATCCCCTAGTTCCACCTGGGGCAGCTCCAGGACTCCAGGGTTCGAAGGCTGTGAGGGCGTCAGGATCAGGTTCCCCCGGGCCCAGGTCAGCTTGGCAGGGGGGTTGCTGACAGCAAAACAGACCAGGGACAGGGACTGGCCGTCTTGCACCCAAAACGTTGAACCGTTGTGCAGGGCTTCAGATCCTGGTGAGGCAAAGGGAAAGCTCAGCTTGGTCGCACTGGGGTGCTCTGCCTTCCTTTGCTTTCATCGTGGAGGCCAAGCTCCTCTCTTCCGCTGCCTGATGGTCTCGCAGTGCATGTGTTCTGCTCCAAGGGCACAGTGCAGGAGCAAGAAGCACAGTTTTCCCGAGAGGCCCTGCCTCGGTCCCCACCCTCCCCGTCTTGGCCGTCTGTGCCACCTCAGGTCCCACATTTACCTCCGGGAGCCTTATTATTTGGTCTCTCGGTTCATTAAGCTCTGCCTAGTTTAACTGTGCCTGAGCATCCACGGTGCTGCAGGTAAGATGCCCACATGCAGGACTCGCAAAGCAGTATGACAGGTTTAGGGACAGGGTGAAGTTGGGATGCAGTTGCCCTGAGGACAAGCATCTTAACGAGGCTGTCAGGGGGCCGGGTCTTGGTACAGTGACAATGCTTCTGGACCCGCATGGGAAAGGTCCCGGGTTTGCATCCTGGGACTCTCTGAGCATGCCCAGTGTGTGCCTACGTCTCTGGCATGGGTCACAATGTGATGAGACCCTGTTGAGGGTGTCATTCTCTTTCTCTCACATATGGAAGGAATAAAGAAAGACTCTTTTTGAAAAACAAATCTATCAGGACAGGGAGGGCTTCTTGGAGAAGAGGATTAACAAGAACATGGGGAATGGGAAGGAGCCATGTAGGGGACGATGCTGGCCTGGAAGGACAGTGGGAAGAACGAGCAGCTACAGATGAGGTATGAAGTGACCTTGCATGCTTAGAAGAAACTGTAGTTCTGTGTAGATTGAATAAGTGGAAGAAATCAGGAGAGAGTTAAAACCTAATATTGGAGTGGGGAAAGTCAGAGGCATAAAAGGAAAATATTGATAAATGCAGTCAGTGGTTTACTGGTACATGTTTAACAATCAGCTCTCCAGTAAAACGAAAAGTTCTGATTTGTGCACTTGCCAATTACCTTGGTGTAAATACTCTCCTCATAGCCAATTTCAGTTTTATGTCTCAACAGGAAGTTGGAAAATGATGCACCAATAGTCCCTCTTTTTTTTTAAAGAGAGAAATTTTTGCTATGGGGCA